GTCTGGGGTTCAAGAGCTCCCCCCTTGTCCAGTCAGCTGTCTTTGTGGGTTTCACCAGCAAGGTCTTGACCCCTTTGCTCATCACTCCTCCATCTCTGTCACTGGGTTCCCACATCTGACTGAGGGCTGATTTCCAAAATATATGAAGAACTCAAGAAGCTAGCCTGAAACACCAAAAAACTCCAATTAAACAGTGGAGTACAGAACTAAATAAAGAATTCTCAGTAGAGGACTCTAAAAAGTGCTCGACATCGTTAGCCATTAGGGAAATGCAAATCAAAACAATGCTGAGATACCATCTCACACCTGTCAGAATGGCTAAAATCAAAAACCCCAATGGCAGTTTATGCTAGAGAGGATGTGGACAGAGGTGAACACTCTTCCATTGCTTGTGGGAATGCCAAGTCGAAAAGCCACCTTGGAAATAAGTATGGCAGTTTCTCCATAAAATGGGAATCAGTCTACCTCAAGATCCAGAAGTTCTGCTCTTAGGCATATACCCAAAGAACACGCATTCATACAACAAGGAAATCTGTTCAGCTATGTTCATAGCAGCATTATTTGTAATAACCAGAACCTGGAAGCAACCTAGATGTCCCTCAACTGAAGAATAGATAAAGAAAATGTGGTACATTTACAGTCAGTGGAGAAAAACAATGAAATCTTGAAATTTGCATGCAAATGGATAGCACTGAGTGAGGTAACCAAGTCACAGAAAGATAAACTCACTCATATATGGATATTAGACATAGGTCCTGAAGAGCTTAAGTTCTACCCTTTAGAAACACTTGTTCACCTGTTTGTCAGTCTCTCCCTTACACTGGCAACAGCAATGCTAGTCTACAGTCTATATATAGCTTGGAACATTTAAACTCCAATAAAAGTGTAATTACCACCCAAACAACCATTTCTAATTAACTCTGGGTTGCACTGAACATGGGGTCTTCAGGTACTTTCCCAAGATTAGCTGCATCTGCATTGTTTGAGCTAGGTCTTGTCTCTTTACATTTTATTTTCACAATGTTGTTACATTTTATGTTCACAATTTCCCTCCAACTTAATTATTTCCTAAAGCACCAACACTACCAGATGAGATTAAAAATGAAACAAATATAAGGAGAACAAATGTAAAATAGCTTGCAGTCTGTCCCACATTTGTACTTTAATTTCCTTCACAAAGTGTGCATCATCCTTTCACGATCTTCGTGAATTCCTGACATCTTCCTCCATACTCCCCTTGCCATTCTCTATTCCACACTATCTGTCCTAGAACACTTAGGACACTGAAGCAGGTCTTGGATGGTTTTTGACACAAACATAGACATATGGGTGGGGGAGGGGCTCTTAAATGTGAAATGTCTGTATCCAGATTGCCTATAGGCAAGACTGGGGGAATTCCTTGATTAACTATCCCACGATTGCTTCTGCCTCACCTGTGCAGGTGGGGTTTACAAGAAAGCAAACTGACCAGTAAGTAGCATTCCTCTGTGACTTCTGCTGCATGTTTTGCCCTGATTTCCCATAGTGATAGAGTATGACCTGAGAGCTGTGAAACACCTGATTGATGCCCAAGAAAACACGAACATAAGACTGAATGAAATGACAAGGAAAATACAGGATTTAAACAATAAACTAAGTAAAGAGATGCAAATGTTTAAGCAAACTCAAACTGAAAGATAAGATTGAAAACCCAAGATGAAATGAAAATTTAATTGGAAAAAACTCAATAACAGAATTTAAAAACTCAGGGTAAAGCCTTACAAGTAGAATGGACTGAATAAAAGTAAAATATAGTGTGAAGAGATGCCTTTTTCTTTGCCAGCAGCTTTGTTTTTCCCCCTGCCAATTGCCTGGGCTCTGCCGTGTTGTAGTCCCCAAATAACACACAAGACGCTGTATTAATTATGAAGCTGTTGGCCTTGTTTGTTTCTTACTGGCTAGCTCTGACTTAAGTATTTACCCCATAATTGTTAATCTAAGTATTTCTCTTACCGGAGAAGTTTCCGGTCTTCTTACCCCTATGGAGGTTCCATCTTGACTCACTGTGTTTCTCCTACCCAGAGTCCTCCTCAACTCCTAGTCCCACCTATCTTGCTTCCCTATTGGCCAACAGTGCTTTATTGACATATACACAGGACTTCCCCCATCAATATAGGACTCAAGCACAAATTATAAGAGTTAGATGACATAAGCAAAGAAAACATTCTTTTAAAACACAGGAAAGGAATATACAGGAACTGTGTGACAACTAAAAAAAACACAAATATTAAAGCTATAGGCAGAGATGAAAGAGAAGAATTCCAGGTCAATAGACAGACCATATCTTCAATAATATCATAAAAGATAATTTCCCCAAATTAAGGAAAGAACTACATATTCTGCTATAAGATGCAGACAGAACACCAAGCTGATAGGATCATAAAAAAACTTCCCCATAGTATATCACAGTTAAAACACTAAACAACACAAATAAAGAGTTGAATGCCTCAAGAGGAAAAAAAGCATGAGTTACACACAAATTAAAATACTGACTGATTTCTCAATAGAAACTTTGAAAGCCAGAAGAGTCTAAAACAATGCTCTCCATGTTCTGAAATACCAAGGATGACCTGGGAAAACTATCTTCGACTGATGAAGGGGAAAGAAAAGCTTTTCATGATACAATAGACTAAAAGAATACATGTTCAGAAAACCAGTCCCACAGAAATATTCAAAGCAACACTTCTAACTGAAGATAGGAATAAGTTGAGCAAAAAGACTATGGGAAGAAAATAAGTCTGTGCTAGAAAGATGGTTCAAAGGTTGAGGACTGGCTGCTTTTCCAGAGGTCCTGAATTCAATTCTCAGTTCCCACATGGTTGGTCACAACTGTCTATAACTATAGTCCTATGAGAGCAAATGCCCCATTCTGGTGTGCAAATATACATACAGATATAAATATACATGCATAAACAGAAAATACAATACATGAATAAATATTTTAAAAAGAAAACAATGAAGCTGTAGTTACTGAAACACAAAGTATGACAAAGAACACAAACAGCAGAATAAATCAGTAAAATGACTGTAATCAAAACTCACCTTTCAGTAATAGCTTAATGGCTTCAACTCTTCAATCAAAAGACAGAGGCTGACTGAATAAGCTAAGAAACAAAAGTTCCCTTTCTGTATTGTATAAGAAATTCATCTTAAGTTTAAGACAGGAACCACTTTAAAGTAAAAGGGTGGAAAAATGTATACAAAGCAAATGGACCATGTAGCAAGCAGAACTGCTGCCCTAATATTTGACAAAATAGACTTCAAACTAAAACTAATCAGAAGAAAGAACAAAGGACACTTCATTCTAATTTTAGGAACATTCAGCCAAGAAGACATTACAATTATGAACCAAACTCTGATGCTTAACATTTGTTTTAGAAATTCCTACTGGAAACAAAGACATAGATTAACCAGCCAAAAAAGTGATGATCTTAATATCCCACTTACTCAGGTAGGCAGGTCATCTGAAAAAATTAATAAATATTACAATTAAATGATATCATACATCAAATATACTTAACATATCTACTGAATATTTTGTCCAAACACCAAGGAGTGCACTTTATATTCAGCATTCCATGCAAAGTTTCTTCATGGAAAATAGATCACATCCAGGTACAAAAAAAAAGCTTATCAAATTTTGAAATGTTGAAATAACTCTATGTATCCAATTTGACCATAATTCAATAAAACTTAAAATAAACAGCAAATAAATCTCCAGTAAGTACACAAACTTATGGAGATTAAACAGTTCATTAGGGAAAACACAAAATCAATAAAGAAATTTAAAAGCTCCTAGAATTAAATGAAAATGAATAAAACAAAACCTCTGGAACACATTAACAGTAGTCCTACCAGGGAAATTTATAGCTCTAAGAGTTTACATTAAAAACTCAAAAGGAATGTAAATAAATGACTTAAGATACAACTCAATTTGGAAAAAATTTCAAAAGATTAAATCCGAATCCAGTTGATGAAAAGAAAGATTAAAAATCAGAGTAGGGCCAGGCGGTGGTGGTGCAAGTCTTTAATCCCAGCACTCGGGAGACAGAGGCAGGCGGATCTCTGTGAGTTCGAGGCTGGGCTGGACTGATAGCCTCCAAAACAATACAGAGAAACCCTGTCTCATATAACCAAAAAAAAAAAAATCAGAGTAGGAAATAATAAAACATAAACAAAGAAACTAATGAAAGGAATCAATGAATCTAAGTGCTGGTTCCTGGAGAAGTAAACAATATTTACAAACCTTTGACTGAAATAACCAAAAACAAAGAAGATATGACTGAATTGACAAATCAGAAATGAATGGGAACCATTACAGCAGACACTAAAGAATTTCAGAATAGTATAAGGGGATAATTTAAAAACCTATACTCAGTTAAATAAAAAAAAATCTAAAAGAAATGGAAGAATGTCGAGATTCATCAAAACCACCAAAGTTAAACAAAGAGATTAACAACCCAAACAGACCCAAAACAAATGAGAGTAAAATGGTAATACCAGACTTTCACAAATCTACAACTAATAGTACTTAAATCTTTCAAAAAGAAAAAGAAAGAAAACATACAAACCAAAATGAAAAAAAGGAGACCTTCCAAGCCCCTTATATGAAGTCAATACTACTGTAATACCGAAAACAAATTATAAAAAATCAACAATAATAAAAAAAGAAGACTTCAAGCCAATGTCTCTGATGATCATAGACCCAATAATCAATCCACAACAACATATTTGGGAAATGAGTATAGATATATACCAAAATGAACATTCACCATGATGAAGTTAGCTTATCCCAGAAACACAGGGATGGTTAAACATATGCAAATCAACACGATAATAAATCATACAGATGGATTTATGAACAAAAATCTATGATCATCACAATAGATGCAGAAAATAACAAAATTCAACGTGCCTTCATCATGAAAACTCTAGAGAAAGTAGGCCAAAAGGGAACATACCTCGACATAATGAAAGCTACATATGAAAACTCTCAGCCAACACCATCCTAAAGGGAGAGAAATGTGAAGAAATTCTATAAAGATCAGGAGCATGACAGGACTGTCCACTATCCATACTCCTTTTGAATATAGTGATCCAGACACTTGCTGACTACATTTGCTCAAGATTTAAGACCAACAAATACCAAGAGAAACCTCATTTAAAAAAGCAAAAGAATCTACACAACTGAGAAAACAATAAATGAAATGAAGTGTCAGAGTGGGTAAGAATCTTTGTCAGCTCTACATCTGACAATGGATTAATGTCCACATTACATAAAGAACTTAAAAAAAACCCAAAAAGCCAAGAAGACAAATGACCCAGTGGCAAAAATGGCTACAAATTTGAAATAAAATGACTAAGAAATATTTCAAAGTGTATATATTGTCCTTAGCAATTAGCGAAATGAAAGTTTAAAAAAGGTTGTTATCTCATTATACACCAGTTAGAATGACTACCATAACAAAACAACCCAAAACAGAAGCTGAAAATGATGTGGGAAAGAGGGAAATCTTCATTCACTGTTTTTGGGTTGCAAATTGTTATATCCAGCTTAGAAATCAGTCTGGAAACCAGGGGGTACCTCTCAAAAAGCTAAACTTAAACTACCATATGAACAAGCAAAGCTATTCCACAGTGTATGCCAAAAGGATGAAGCATCCTACTCCACACTCCACAGATACTTGCTCAGTGATGTCCACTGACATTCTACTCACAAAGCTAGGAAATATAAATAGCGTAAATATCCTTCAGCCAGTGAAGATATATCAAAAATGTCACATATGCATCATGTATTACAATTCATCTATAAAGAAAGATAAATTTTTCAGGTATATGGATATAACTAGAAAACGTATTGAATGAGGTAACCCAGAGCCATGAAAAGCAAATGACACAAGATCTGTCCCAATAGTAGTTCCTAGCTTCAAATATTCAGTTGTGATTACAAAAACCTGATTTCTGCCCTGATCTGTTTTTCCGGTTTACTATAGTTGTATTTGTTTCATGATGTTTCTTCCAATGCTTTAAGAAGCATCAACAAATTATTTATTTGAGAACTCTCTGAGACGATAATGTTGGCATTTAGTGTTTGTCTTAGATACCTTCCTGTTGCCATAACATAACACTATGTAACCAAGTCAACTTAAAAGAGGAAGAGCTTATTGGGGACTTACAGTTTCAGAGGGTGAGTCCATGATTATCATGGTGGAGGAGCATATGCTAGAGCCGTAGCTAGAACTTGCATCTGATCCATAAGCACAAGAGAGACAACTAGGTCTAGCATGACCTTTTTAAACATCAAAGCCCACTGCAGTTACACACCTCCTCCAAGCCCACGGCTTCAAATACTTCCCAAACAGTTCCGTTAACTAGGGACCAAGCAGCCAAATATGAGCCTATGCAATCCATTTTCATTGAAATCACCACATTACTATAAACTTCCTTCACCATGTCCTGTGAATATTGTGTTTTGTTTTATATTTAATTTCAGAACATTTTGTTTCTTGATTTCTTATAAGACCTATTGATTACTTAAAGAACAGCAACAATCACATAATTATTTCAATTAAAATATTCTTCTTAGTTGTTGGAAAGAATATGAATTTCACATTATCCTTCAGTCAGAGATACAGTTTTCATAATTTTGAAGAAAATTCTGAACATCTAGGAAAAATCATTCACTTCTCACTTAGCCCGAAGTGTAGATAAAAGCAGGATAAAACTCTGGCATTTCTAATTTCATTTATCTTTACTTTGGGGTAAATTTGTAGAGTTCTGTATAAAAATATGCTAATAATTTATAGATATTCTCAACACTTATGAAATCTAACCTATTCCATCCTCCTTCAGGATTTATGGTACAAAGTACCATACACAGTAGCTAAGATAATATTAGCTCAGGTACTTTGTCTTGGGATTTAGTATTATCTAGCTCTAATTGCAGAAACTTTCCCTGGAAGCATTCTGTCATTGGTCTATACCTACAGCATTCTTGGATTGTAGGAACATTAGAGTCCTGAGATTCCCCGCCCCCATGAGGAGAGATTACCTCCTATGCCAGTAGGAGTAATAATCTCCTGGGAACCAAAGATTTTCCCATTAAAATACTTCATTAGGATAATTTTACAGAACCCAAACTGTGATAACCACCACTGAAAACTGTTTAATCAAGACTGCTCAATCATGGGCACCTCTCACTCCCTACCCAATTCCCTTTAATACTAAAATAAAGTCCATGACTATCCCAAAGATACATTCAGATGTTTAATTTTCTCCTTTCCAACATTTGAATTTCACATATAGTCCTTTCCTGATACTTCAGCATTACTTTTGTTTGTTTTCTTTGGAACCAATGCCTAGACTTTATTTATTGGAACCCCTAGAATTAGGCCTCTGTCTTAGGTTCTGGTTATATAATCACATACCTGCTAAGTATCTTATCTCTGAAAAGATTCGTTGTTGTCTCAAGGTGAGAACGTCTTGTTCATTTATAGGTCAAGCCTCACCTTATTTTTGAAGATGGGAATATGATCCTAAGAAATAACTTTTCACATTAGATTTACATGTGGTACAGAACCCACACGTCGTGAGGAGAAATGAGAACAGGATCATTTGACTTAGATCTTTGCATGAGTGTGAATAGTATGGAAAGGTAGAGCAGAAGGCACCTTCAGGGTCATGTAAGCTTCATACATATTATTATTTATGTCAGAAGTAAAATGAGTATGGAGGCATTTGTTATAATCCAGCTAGGACATTTGATTCTTTTTACTCTAGGTAGAAGCTTAAGAACTCAGAATCTTAAGCAATGTCTCCAAAAACATCAAGATTATCACCAATACCACACTACCAGCATCAATGAAGTATCAACAGAATTTGAATTATTTTGTCTGAACACTAGTTTCTTAGTTCAATTGCCTGAATGTATGCCTGACAAATTGGAAGAAATGAAACCCTTGAAGTGATAGATTTATGGAGAAATATTAAGTCCTGAGGAAAGAACCCTCATAGATGGGATTAGTGCTTTATAAAACAGACCTCTGAGAGAACTTTCCCTGAAAGTCATATGTGGATCCAATAGAAGCTACATATCATGAGGGAGCATGCTCTCATCAGATATCAAATTTCAGCCTCTTAATCCTGGAGTCAATTCTTCCAGATTGTGAGAAGTCACTTTCTATTATTATAACCTATACAGATGTGGTTATGTTATAATGACAAAATAAAACCAAAAACCAAAAAAAAAAAAACCAACCCAAACCCAATACACCTTAAAGGGTCTTACAGGCTTGTATGAATGCCATCCTAGGCACAAGTATAGCTTTCGTCAGTTATGATTGTCAATAATTCAGTCTCTGAAAGATACATAAGAAATGGCTACCTTAAAGATCGGTACAGAGAAGATTGGATCTTCAACTGGTTCACAGTCCAGTACTTTCAAGTTGCTATTAGGAAGAGTCCAGGATGGACAGTTCTCAACAGCTACAACAATTAACATTCCATTCAGAACATAGAACCTATCTATTTCTATGAACACTTGGAGGTACATAGGGATGTGCCATTGATAATTTTTCATGATCTTGGAATAATTTACTTTCAAATAATTGAGCAACTTTCTGTCATATGTCCATGATGTTTGTGATTGCTAAAGGCATTACTATTTTGTAAGACAAGCACCGTGGAAATGACATAATTACAGTCCATGACATGGTTGACATGGTGTTGTACTCCACTTTAGCAATAATATACAAGGGGATATTATTGAGTAGTATCCTTCTTAGTTACATATGAAAAAACAATGACAGAGAACAATGTAAATAGAACATTACATTATGGAAAGCATTATTTGAGCTGAAGAAATGGTGCAAACTTCCACATTTTAGAAAAAGGAGAAGCGAGCCAGGCGTTGGTGGCGCACGCCTTTAATCCCAGCACTCGGGAGGCAGAGGCAGGTGGATCTCTGTGAGTTCGAGACCAGCCTGGACTACCAAGCGAGTTCCAGGACAGCCTCCAAAGCCACAGAGAAACCCTATCCCGAAAAACCAAAAAAAAGGGGGAAAGAAAAGAAAAAAGAAAAAGGAAAAGCGTTTAAATGTAAGAAAGATGGAATAACCTTGTTAGGGCTTCTAGAGGAACAGTGTTGCGATAGCGGGATGAGTACTAGAACCCTTTTACGATCCTCACCTATATGTCATTCTTGGACTTGTCATCTCCTTACAAACCTTCTAACCAGATGAACATATTGAACTCTTTCTCTGTGAGCATAAAGGTAACAAATTAACATTGTAGAGCTGTGCATTGCAAGTAACTAACAGAAATAAATGATTAATACAAACATGGATTTGTTGTGTCACTCGAAAATCTAGCATATGCAGATGTTTGAATGCCTCTTCTAGAACTTCCCCTTTAATTTTCTTTCATGAGAGAAAACAAAAACATGATACAATTCCTACTGTTACAGAATCAAGAAGTTGCAAAAAATTTGAAAAAACACGAGACCTATTAAGAAGTCATAGTCTACAATGAGCTTTACTGTGACATACTTAGTAATAGTCAATCCTCAATTTTATTGCCTTTGAAATAAAGCTCTATTTTTCTGGTTATAAAGTTATATGGTAGTACACTTTTCTCAGATTATGCATTTTGGATGCTAGCAGGAGCTAAAAAAAAAGAATTTTAGATTCTGAACAAAGTATTTATGTTTAAATAAATAAATATCAAGCTGGATTAAAATTGTAGTTAACAACTTAAGACAATATTTCATTATTCTAAAGATTTAAGCTCTAAAGTAACATACTACGTATGTCATCAAAGAAATATTTGTAAGATAGCATTTATTATTATAATTAATGTTATTAGTTCTTTGGGAATTTCATACATGTTTAGATCATACTCCTGCTGCAAGATTCAACCCCTTTTTTTTCTACTCACCAAATTTTGTGTTCTATTTTTTTAAATCCTCTAACACCAAGTCATGCTGCCCAAATATTCTTGGATGTGTAGTATTCCATTGGACCTTGATCAATTTCTCAAGGGTTACACTCTCAGATAAAACTACTTTTCCCTCTCCCCAGATGCCAATAATTTTCAGAAGCTCCATGGCTGTAAGTTGGAACTGTGTATCCTACTTCCCTCTCCATGAGGGGATTTTGTCTGGCTTGGGCTAACACGGGTCTTGTGCATGTTGCCACAATTGTTCTGAGTTCATATGTGTAGCTGGCCGCTTTGACTTGAAGACATTGCTTTCTTGTAGTCAGCTACTGCCTCTGGCACTTCATTCTTTCCACCTCTCTTCCACTTGGGCTTTAAAATACGAAGGATCCTTGGCCAATAATACTTAATGAGATTCAAAATTATAGCTAAATATACTTTATGTTCTCTTTAAAATAAGAATACTCTTTAAAAAGAATCTCAAATAATCTTTCCAAACACATAAGTCAAATATCTAGAAGTGAGAATGCATTTGCTTATTTGTTGATTTAAAGTTTTCATTTTATCAGATCATTACCCAAGTCATTCATGTAACATCTAGGAAGAATGAACAGTGGCTATATGTAAATTTGCCACAGAAGAGTAATTAACTAGTAGTTTTAACAACCCTACATATACAAAATGAATCATGGATATTTAGATTGAATGAGACATGAATGTTAAACACCTTAGGTAATTTTGTTATGGTTTAAATATTAAGTTTTGTTCAAAAGGTTCTTGTGTTGAAGGATTTTCCCCATTGGTGAATCTGTTCATTAAAGGCTCTGAATTCATTGATGGATTTATAATTTGATAGTATTGCCTTCTTTTAGAAGATAGGATGTTGGACATAGTTGAAAGAGGTAAGTCTTTTGGTACCCCTACAAAGAATGGACTATCCCTGGCTCCACTCTGACTGTTTTCTTATCTCCATAAACTGAGCAACTTTCTCCTCCATGCACATCAGATAGGATGTGCTGCCATAACATGTGCCCAGAAACAACGGAACCACCAAACATACTTGGAAAGTTCTGAAATTTCGAGCCAAAATAAACCTGTCTTCAATCTAACTATTTCTCTCAGGGTTTAATGCAGGGAAGAAAAGTCTAACATAGCACTGTAGATCCTTTAATAAATATTACCTTTAACCATGTAGTAATTGTACATATCTGTAAAATTGTACTTACATGTGTATATGAGTGTGTATATATATGTATGTGTGTGTACATGTATATATTGGGGAAAAAGGAGTCTATTGTTAATTTTATCAAACATCTTCCCCTTAAAATCATTAGATTCCATTGCTAACATTCACCTTTATCATTGTGTTGAGCTCATGTTTACTTTGACTAGGTCTAGATCCTATCCACAGGAGTAATTTCTTTGTAGGAACTTCATTGTCTTTCCCAATGTCAGAGTGTAAAGTGGTCTAAGTAACAATGATAAAGAAGCTACCAGGAATTGGCAGGAGTTGCTTTAGAGCTCAGGTCCTGGGACACACTCTGACACAGAGTCACGACTGGAGACAGCAAGCGCAATGCATGAAGTCCCACAGGAAGATTTTGTTGTTGTTATTGTTGATAGTTTTAAATATTAAACTCTCTGTTTCCCATTCATTCAAAGCACAGTTAGCACAGGACAGGAACAATGTTAAGAATAAAAGTTATTTGAGGTACTCTCATATCAGGCCAACATAGTGATGTCATCAGGAAATAAACTTAACCATTCTCAGTTTGGTGTAAGGGACACAACTGTAAGAGAATACTGGAGTCTTTGATGCCTAGAATCATATTGCAGTGAGCAGAAACAGGAACTGAATCTTAAGCTGAACTGGTCACAGAGTCAACAATCTGGTAAAAACAGGTTAACCATTCATTGTACTCAAATTCTACCGTCCTTCTCTTTAGCCCTGGTTGCACATTTTAGAAGGAGGTGGAACACAGAGAGTCAATCCTTAAGTGTCTTCTTGCCCTGAATCAGGTAGTCAGCCTTGTTTCTGAGATCCATGCTGCTGCTCCTGGCTCTCTTCTGCTGCACTCTCTCCCTCAGGATGGTTTCTCTGATAGTGGGCTTCACACACAGTACCAAGATTTCTGAGCCTCACATCACTACTAAGACATCATGTAGGTTAAAGTCTGACTCAGAGCAAACATGACATGATTCATTGTGTAAGTATATTGTGATGTTTGCAGTGCATATGTGCTTAATACAATATGAATAACAAATGCTGAACGTAAGTCTCCCTATCCCTGGAAACAACCTTTTTAATATATATGTAATATGGACATAGTTTATTAACCTTGATGAATTGCATTTAATTAATCCATATCTTAATTTACTTGTGTATAACAATAATTACTTACATTGATGCTACAAGGGTTGATCTCAGATCAATTCCATCTGTAGCACACAACACTGTAGGTCCCAGTTACATTAGCTAAGGGCTGTAAAATTAAATTTCCTTATAAATCATATAAAGCAGTCATTCTTAAAGTCTACAAAGCATGTGTGTGTGTTACTCCAATTTTATCTATACATCACTTTTCTCATACCTTTGCATTTTATGTAAGATTAAAATGAAGTAGGTAATTATTTTGATCATAAAATCGGTCACTCAATTTTTGTTCTGTCTTCAATAGGTATTTCTTACTGTAATGCAATTGACTTGTTTATAAACAAAACTGATGCTACTAAATAAGTAGGTAACCTGGTACAGTCCTAAAAACAAGTCCTTTCTAGCAGGACATTGAATGACCCCTGTCTTGTTCTTCCCTTTTGCCTGTTGTATCATCCATAGGTAAGTGAGAGCTCACAAAAAATAAAAAACTCACATAAAATACTCAGCACTTATTTAAAGATCTCTAAGCCAACAGAATGGAAGAGGAAACCTAGAACCATGCCATCCCCCACAGCACCCCAAAATTACCATGAGCACATGGACCCTGGCAGAAGTAGCATTCCAGATTAATGGCAAAGATGGACTCCTATTGAGAGTGAGAAAGTTAGCCATTGTATAAAATGAAAGTTAATGTCTACTCATATTATATAAAGAGAAAATTAATGACTTACAAGGAAAAGGAAACCTCCAAAGGAAAAACAGGCAAAGCAAACCAAACTCCAAATCACTCGATAACAATTAGTAATTATGACCATAAATTCCATACTGCCATCACAAGTCAGGTAAAATAAAAGACATATATGAGAAAAAATTATAGCATTGCTAACTTAGGAACAGTATGATAATCAGAAAATAACTTCTAAAAATCAGCAAAAGTAAAGCTAATCAGCAGAAAAAGTCACTTAGTATGCAAAAAGATTGCACCTATTTCACTAAACTGGAACATACAAATAAGAAGTGAAGCAAGTTCAATGTCACTGGAAACTTCAGGAATAGAGTTAAAAGTGAAACTGGAACTCCATATTAACAGGCCAGCTGGCATAAAACCGGCAATACAGGATGTCATGAACATTGAAACTGTGGGCTGTTGAGAAGAAGTAAACACTG